TTTGGCAGGCCCAGGCTGGGGATTCGAATCCGCCACCTTAGGTCTATGTGGCTGGTGCCTTAGCCACTTGAGCCACAGGCGCCGAGCCTATTCTCACTCCTATACCATTGCTCATGCTATCTTCTCTCCTTAGCCAGCCCCTTCTTTTTCAACTGCATGTTACCCTTCCTTCAGAGTAACCACACTTTTTTCATAAACCTGCCCTCCTTCATTCATCCTGAAGCACCTGATACTAACATTTCTTCAGCACTCATTCATTCATTCCAGTTGGCTCAGTCACTCCTAGGTGAGATGCTTTCCTGCTCTAAATCACCCTCCCCCAGAGGAAAGATATGTACTAAGTACCTACAGTGGGCCAGGCTCTCCATATTAGGCATTAGAATTATAATAAAGGAGGAAAAGACAAAAATCTTTGTGCCTCACAGAACTTGGGGACAGAGCCAATGGGTTGATAACTGATTAAAGAATTATACTCCATAAATGTGACCTACCAACTGTGCTAGCACTACAATGGAAAGCATATAACAGGGAGAAATGGACCTCATCAGGGAGATGAGGGAGGCTCAGAAGCAGGGACAAGTTCTTTGGGTAACATGCCTTCTCTCTCTACATGTTTTGAGTTCCTGGAGGTAGGCCATGCCTCCTCACCCTCTCTGGGGCTTCAGCACTTGGCAAAACAGGTGAAGGAGTCCACGAGTGACTCTGCTAGAGATAGGGGAGCATCTGAAGAAAGCATCTTATCTAGCAACATGAGCCAGAGTAAGGACACCTTGAGGGACAGTCCTCAGTGGAAATTTGAGTCCTGCCACTCATCGGCTTTGAGCACGTTACTGAACAGGCTCAGTAATATGTCTCACGTTCCTCATCTATAAACTACGACTAACCAGGCAAACCACTTCCTTTGGAGTGGATGGATGTGAAGATTATAGGATAAAAGGTATCCCTACATAGGCCTTGAAAGTACCCCCCAAATGATGGCTACTATCATCATTACCATTACTTTTATTATTATTAGAAGACTCAGAGGCAGGAAATAAGCTCTGAGAGTTGTATATGAGGCCATCAAATTCTGACCAAGTCACTACTGAGACCAGCAAAATGGACTTCTAAAAACTGGATCTTTCATAGTCTAGAAAGGAGAAGTGCCCAGCAGGGGTTTCTCAAAAGCAGAAAAGGCTCTTGACAACTGTCAGGACTACCCAAAATTTGCTCTTCCTGGGGCCTGGTTTCCTATACTGACAGACCTCAGACTTTGAGGCACGAAGAGGCTGCTAAAGTCAAAGGTCCCCATGGCAACCTCCTAATTTACCTAGGCATTTATCTATAAAAGGAAACACAAAGACAAGCCTCATCTTTCCAAGTTCACCTGCTTCACTGCCTCTATCTATCCTCTTCTGGCTGGGGGCAAGAGGGCAGTGCAGGGTGTAGTAGGCAAAATAAAGGCTCCCAGAGATCTCCAAGCCTTGATTCTCAGAACCTATAAATACATCAAGTAACACGGAAAAGGGCAATTTAAACAGCAGATGGGACTAAGTTTGCTAATCAGATGGCTTTAAAACAGGGGGATTATTCTGGATTATCTGGGTGGGCCCGATGTAATCACAAGGGCTCTTTAAACATGGAAAAGGGAGGCAGAAGAGCCAGTGTCACAGTGATGTGATGTGAGAAAGACTCAATTAGTCACTGCTGGCTTTTTTTTTTTTTTAGAGACATAGTCTCACTTTATCGCCCATGGTAGAGTGCCCTCCAACTCCTGGGCTTAGGCGATTCTCTTGCCTCAACCTCCTGAGTAGCTGGGACTACAGGTACCCACCACAATGCCCAGCTATTTTTTGTTGCAGTTTGGCTGGGGCCGGGTTCAAACCTGCCATTCTTGGTATATGGGGCTGGGGCCTTACCCACTGAGCCTCAGGCACCGCCTGCACTGCTGGTTTTGAAAACAGAAAAAAGGGCCACAAGCCATAGAATACAGGAAGCCTCCAGAATCTGGAAAAGGAAAGGAATAAATTCTCCCCTAGAGCCTCCTGAAAGGAATTCAGGCCTGCTGACACCTTAATTTTAATGCAGCAAGACCCATTTTGGACTCCTGACCTTCAGAATTATAAGATAATTTGTATTGTTTTGAGCCACTAAGTTCGTGCTAATTTGTTATAGAAACAAGAGGAAACTGATACATAGGGCTTTCAAAATGTTCTCCATGGAGCCTTAGGGCTTTTGAGGTGATGCCTAATAACACAGTAGGACACAGACATGCCACTACTCTTTACATAGTAGGCTTCAGTAAAAAAAGTTTAAAATAGTTTAGAACCAATAGTATAGTAGAAAGAATTGGGGGTCAGACAGAGTTTGATTCAATCTGTTTCTTTATCAACATGTGATATCCTTTTTTTTTTTTTTTTGCAGTTTTTTGGCCGGGGCCAGGTTTGAACTCACCACCTCCAATATATGGGGCCGGCGCCCTACTCCTTGAGCCACAGGCACTGCCCCAACATGTGATATTCTTATGCTTTACCTAACTTCCCTGAGCCTAGGGTCCTTATCTGTAAAAGGAGGATGACCATCTCACAAGATTGCTGTAAGAATAGGAAAATGGGGCTCGGCGCCTATAGCTCAACCAGCTAAGGTGCCAGCCACATACACCTAAGGTGGCGGGTTCGAATCCCCAGCCCGGACCCGCCAAACAACAATGACGGCTGCAACCAAAAAATAGCCGGGCGTTGTGGCGGGCGCCTGTGGTCCCAGCTACTTGGGAGGCAGAGGCAGGAGACTCGCTTGAGCCCAGGAGTTGGAGGTTGCTGTGAGCTGTAATGCCACGGCACTCTACCCAGGGGGACAGCTTGAGGCTCTGTCTCAAAAAAAAAAAGAATAGGAAAATGGGTAGGACAAAGTCGGACACACAGAGAGAGGAAACATTAGCCACCCTTCTATACTCCTTCCTTCTACATAGTCTTCTCTTAGTAAGGAACAGGCAGAATCGTTAAGTGCCTAGCCTGCTCCCCTCCCCCACAAATAAAGGCATTAGGAGGAACAGAACTCCACCTCCCCCAATCCACCCTATGAGCCACAGTCAGTTTAAGGCTCCATTTATTTATTTATTCACTTAACAAATCTACTGCACGGTCAAGGCTAAGGTGGTGAGCAAAACAAACCAGTCTCTACCCTGAGAGAGTTTCATTCTACTAAAAACAACAGACATTAGTCAAGGTGAGGTTTAGATTACCAGAGAGTACTGGAAGATGGGAGGAGAGCCAGCTGAGAGGTCAGAGAAGGATTTGTAGGAAAAAAAAAATGCATCAGCTGGGAGTTGATGAATGATTAGGCATTAACTAGGTGACAAGGCAAAAAATTACAGGCAGAGGAAGAAAACAACAAAATAGCCCTATGGTGAGAGGGAAATGAGGCCTAAAATAAAAAGTCATCATGGCTGAGGAGCAGAGAAAAAACAGATGAAGGAAAGGAAGGAATGAAGAATGACTCCAAAATTCAACTACGTTGAGTGTTGGTGCCATCCCAGAAACAGAAAACACTGGAAGAAGACCACTCTGGGAGTGAGAAGATCAGAGGTCGGTTTTGGATACGTGTTTAGGATAACTTTGGGATGTCCTACCAGAGCTATCACCTGGAAGTTGGATATATAGGATATGTAAGTCTGGAGTCTATAGGTAACCTCTGGGCTAGGGATGTAAACATGGGAATCACATGTAAGCAGTGCCTGAAGCAGTAAAGCAGGACCAGGGGAGGTGGCTCACTAGACTGAGCTCTACAACAAACATATAACGCCCAAGAGCTGGACAGTGATTGCAAAGGAACATAAAAAGACTAGTCTGAATAGTGTTACATCATAGAACAGCGGTTCTCAACCTTCCTAACGCCACGGCCTTTTAATGCAGTTTCTGTGGGTCACGAGCCACAACTTGAGAACCACTGTCATCGATGAAGGAGCAAAGTGTATCCGGGAGGAAGTAGTAGTCAACAGTGTCAAATGTAATTGCGAGGCTCTGTAAGAGGCCAACTGACCGATAGGACCCTGCTCACCCAACTGGGCAGTAATAATGGACAGGCATGGTATCTGAGAGGTGAGGCCTATTAAATCTTCTCCCAGAGGTTCTGGGCAGTGACCTGAATATCAGAGGCTCACCTGCTAGTATTTTCCTAGGGAAGGAGGAATGGAAAACAAAAGTTACACAAATGGCAAGAACAGAGACCCAAAGCATTTGCCACTATATCCATTGACCTGGCCTTAGGAACTGGCTCAACCTGGAGCAAAGAAAGAGCTGATACCAACCTGGACCTATTCTCTGTCCTGAAACTGGTTAAATATGTATGCCTTTAAAACTAGGGCAAAACTTGAGATCTGACACCAGGGTACAGGCAAGGGGGTTCCTCCCTGCCCAGAGTTGGTGAGGTGCCTGTACTGGGGCCTCCACCTGCAGCAACAGCACAGCACTGTTTTCCAGCACTTCCATCTCCAGCACCAAACCCACTCACCTGGTAAGAAACCCGGACCTTGAACTTCGATCGTCTCCTTGTCCAACTCGTCTGCGTGCTCTGAGTTCTCAATCACCTGGTCCAACTCCTCACTCAGCTAAAGGGAGAAGCAAAGAAGGCGTCAAGTCAGCTACATCAGCCTTGCTTTCTAGACTAGAATAAGAAACCAGAAGCTGTTTCTCATTTGTCACCAAAAAACTACATAATATAGGGTGTGTTATAATAATTCCACAGATGAGAACACTGAAGCTCAAAAAACTCAAAGAACTTCCTTGAGTTTCTTAGAACTATTGTAACAAAGTACCACAAACCGAGTGTCATAAAACAACAAAAATCTCCTCTCTCACAGTTCTGGAGGCTAGATGTCTGAAATTAAGGTGTTGGCAGGGTTGATTCCTTCTGATAGATGGTAAGGGACAATCTGTTCCGTGGCTCTCTCCTAGCTTCTGGTGATGGGTGGCAATCCTTGGCATTCCTTAGTTTGTAGATGCATCCATACTCTAATAGCTGCCTCTAGCTTCACAAAGTATTCCTTAAGAACACGAGTCACATTGCATTAGGTGCTCACCCTATTCCAGTAAAACCTCACTTTAACTACACCTGCAACAATCCTGTTTCCAAAGTCACAATATGGAGGTTAGGACTTCCACATATAATGGAAACAATTCAACCTACAGTATTTCCCCTGGCCAGAGAGCCAGAGAAAAACAGAGCTAGGAGTCAAATCTTAAATGGGTCTAGTTCTAGGCTGGTCCAAGTACAGTGGTGTTTACAACTAATTGATCACAACCAGTTAGATTCTTTTGTTCCTTCTCTATTCCCACTGCTTCATTTGACTAACCAAACCAAACAAACAAAAATAAAACTTGGTCTACGTCTAAAGCTCATGGTCTTAACCACTTCCAAGAGGAAGAGGAAATGCAGTTTACAGTCTGCTGAGATAGAAGAAAGAACAGTGAAGTTAGTGTGAAAGCTCTCCAGTACTCTGGCTAAAGTTCACTAAATTGGGCTGCAAATGGCAGAACAAAACAGGGAGGTTAGTCCATCCAAAGGACACGTGCTAATTAACAGCCTAGTAGCAGTCAATCTTAACCTCACTTCACCTACACTTCATCAGTGTTCTCCCCTATCAAATGGGCACAATTCTGCCACAAAGAAGGACAGAAGGGCAGAAAAGAGACCAAGATAATCCTTAAGTCTCACAAGGACTTCACAGAAAACTCCACCTCTGGTCTTACCCCCACAAGCAGACTACTTGTTATATTTTAATAAACATTTGATGAGCTCTGCTAAGCAAGGAGATCCTGAAAGCTTTATGTGGATGGTGAGAGACATGGTCCTATTAGGCCAGGACCCAAAAGCTTCCTAGAAATAGGAATTGCCCATACCCTGGTGACAAGAGCCAAGGAGTAACTACCTGCCAAGCACAAAGCCAAGCATTTTTCATATACCAATTCACCTAACACTCACAACAACCCTAGGAGGTAGGGACTATCATTATATTCCTTTTCAAACTGAGAAACTAAGGCTTAGAAAGTTAAGTAACTTAACAAAAGTTACACAAATGCCAAGAAGCCAGGATAGGAAAGTGGCTTTTTCACTTCAGTAGTAGTATTTACCCACTATGCTCTACTCCCTTCAAACCTGAAATCTTCTACAATTAGGACGAGAAGTATCTCATTCTCCACTGTTGAAAGGGTTTCTTGGACCACTCATTAAATACACAAACACTAATGAGAGCTGATTAAGAAAAGGTCTGCACATGCTTTTCTCAATATCTAACATCACAGACTCAGCACCTGTAGCTCAAGTGGCTAAGGCGCCAGCCACATACACCAGAGCCTGTGGTTTCAAATCCAGCCTGGACCTGCCAAACAACAATGACAACTACAACCAATAAAAAAAAAAAATAGCCATCGTTGTGCTGGGCATCTGTAGTCCCAGCTACTTGGGAGGCTGAGGCAAGAGAATTGCTTAAGCCCAAGAGTTGGAGGTTGCTGCGAACTGTGATGCCACAGCACTCTACCCAGGGCAACAGCTTGAGGATCTATGTCAAAAAAAAGAAAAATATGGCTCAGTGTCTTTGGCTCAAGCGGCTAAGGCACCAGCCATATACACCTGAGCTGCCAGGTTCGAATCCAGCCTGGGTCCGCCAAACAACAATGACGGCTGCAACCAAAAAACAGCCAAGTGTTGTGGCAGGCACCTGTAGTCCCACCTACTTGGGAGGTGGAGGCAGGAGACTCACTTGAGCCCAAGAGTTGGAGGTTGCTGTGAGCTATGACACTCTACCCAGGGTGACAGCTTGAGGCTCTGTATCAAAAGAAAAAAAATAAAATAAATATCTCTCTCTCTCTCTCTATATATATATATATCTAACACCACAGATAAGCAAAACAATCCTCAAATAACCTGCATGCCGCCCATGGGCCACAGGTTGTACACCCCTGGTCTAGAGCATGAACTTTAGGGGCCATGGAATCCATAGCACTGGTTAAAATCCATCAGGCTCCTTTTAGATAAAGGAAACGAGATGGGATTAAGGGGAAATGGGAGGAGAAATACAGAAATCTGTCCAAGGCCAGATTCTAGTCATGTCCTACACTAAAAAATGGCAAGCCTTAGGCAGATCTTATCTATTTTCAACTTAGCTTCCCCTTCTACTGTGGAGCTAAGCCACTTGCTTTATATAGTCCACAAAGCCTTTCTGTGAATTATAATCATTTACAAAAGGAGAGATGCACATCAATAACTACTGAACAGGACAGAAGCAGCAAGTTCACATGAGGAAAGGCTGATGGCAGATACAAGACTGATTTGGAAAGTCCCCCCCATAAGGCAGGTAGGAATCTGAGGTGGCCCTTGACAAATGGGGGCATTTTAGCCAACAGAGCTTAGGAGAGAGTTAAAGAAGAAAGGGTGTGAGCATATGCATAAAGCCAGGGGCACATTTTTAGATGAGGAGTTTCCAGAGTGGCTAGAAACTAAGTGGGTGAGGAGATGGCAAAGGTAATGGGAGATACCGCTGCTGAGCTGTACAGAGCTTTGAAAGCTGATCGGATGGTGAGGTGGCTCATACCTGTAATCCTTGCATTCTGGGAGGTTGAGGTGGTGGACTGCTTGAGCTCAGGAGCTTGAGCTAGTGAGGCCCTAGCTCTATTAAAAATAAAAAAGCTAGCTGGTAGTGGTTGTGGGCACCTGTAGTCCCAGCTACTTGGGAGGCTGAGGCATGCTGTGAGTTATGGTAAGACCCCAGCACTCTACCCAGGGTGACAGAGTAAGACTGTCTGCCCTCCCCCCCAAAAAAGAAAGTTTGAGCTGGGCAGACTAAGGTCAGCATCAGGTCTATGAAAAAAAGGAATGCCCTGGGGTCAAGGCAGGGTGTGAGAGGAAATCTGGAGTCTAAAAAGAGTCTGGGGTGGCACCTGTGGCTCTAGGGCAGGGCGCCGGCTCCATATGCCAGAGGTGGTGGGTTCAAGCCCAGTTCCAGCCCAAAAAAAAAAAAAAACTGCAAAAAAAAAAAGAGTCTGAAGGGAGAGGTGGTAACACTGTATCACACTCAGGCGGCGAGAGCTAAGGGAGGGGGCAGACTGCAGGAGGACCGCACAGACTGCAAGAGGACTAAGCAGAACTGCCTGACCTTGGCAAATAAAGGGGCACAGCAGAGGAAGGTCAGCAAAGATGACCAAGGTCTGGGGCCTGAGGAGAAAGAGGATATCGGTTCACTAAGACAACTGGAGGAGTCAGAAGGAAGAGCTGGTCTTAAGCAAAAGCTGAGAAGCGCAGCCTGTAGCTCAGGACAGACAAGAGACAAAGAACTGGAAAGTCATAGAGTTGCTGTAGGAGAAGGGTGACGCCGGAGCGACAGATGGAGAGGAGCGAGAACCAGCAACGTCGGTGAAAGCACTTTTTCAAAGTTTGGTGGCCACCAAAACCTGAGGTAATTACCCCGTCCCTCACCAGCCCAGGGGCCCGCGAGGCCTTGGGCTTGGAGAAAGACTAAGCGGACCGTGCATCCGCTCTCGCTGGAAGGAGGGTACGCGGGGCTTCCACCGTTGCAGACAACGCCGGGTTCCTCCGGGCCAACGGAGTCCCGCTCCAGAGGTGGCTTTAATCATTCACCTGCTGGTTACGGATCGCGGATCCGGGGACTCGGCTCCATCCCTCGGCCAAGGGACCAGCAGCATCCGGAGGAGGGTGGGCGCCTGCTCCTTCCTTCCTGCCCCTTAGCCTCTCCCCTTTACCCGGGGACCCCTCCCAGGACGCACTCACCCCGGCCCTTTCACTAGCCCTCCGTGCGCCGCGCGGACGCCCCCTGCACCTCACCTTCCCAGGCGCCCGGAACCCCGCTCCGGCGCCTCGCAAGAAACTGCCCTTATGTCTCTCACCCCTTCGTACCTCCTGGTAGGATGTGGAGCGCTCCTGCCGGATCATGGTACTGACCAGAGTTGCTGCACACCTGAGCCCGCAGCAGCCCAGGAGGCGAGAACAGGCAGCACCGCAGCTGCGGAGCCTGGACCTGTCGGCTCCGCTAAGCGAAACCGGTTCGGAGCGGCGTCCCTGAGACCAGGCGTGGCGGCACGTGGCGCATGCGCTTCGCTGCTAGCGCCGCGGGAGCCGCGAAAGGGTTACTGGGGAATGTAGTCCGGCGGGTGTCCCTGAGCGCCCCTGCGCTGCAAAGGCTGCGAGGTATCCCGGCCGGCCAAACGCGGACCTCTTTGGATACGCGTGCCTCTTTGGATACGCGTGCCTCTTTGGCTCTCACTTCCTTTCTTTGTTGGAGGGGAAGGGACGGAGAATATGAGTGGAAAGTGGAACAAGGTCAGGTGGGTAGAAGCGCCTATCTATAATTGCAAGAGGAAGCTTGGCCTGGTGGTTTATAATCGCTGTAATTGTCCGGAGAGTACTTTGTAATTGCCCTTGATCCTGCAAGGAACCCTGTAAGGAGGACATTTTTCTCCCTATTTTATAGAGGAGAAAACTGAGGTACTCTGTTTCAGAAAGAATGTGGTGAGGGCAGTAATCAGGTGGAATTTATTTCATCCAGGTGCGAACTACAGAATCCATGTTCTTCCATTATTCCTGGGCTGGACGCTTGGGGTCATAACCCCTAGGTTCTTGTCCTGATTCTGCCCCTCACCTGCAGGTTCTGCGGTGCTCTGAGCCCTGCTCGCTTTGCCTTAGAATGCAACTGGTAAACCCTGCCCTGCCTGACAGGGTCTTATGAGAGCAAAAAGGAGGCACAATGCAGAGAAAACCCAAAGACACTATTCAGCCACAGCTTGAGCCTTAAATGCGGCAGGGTGGACCTGAGGACCACATCTTCCTTTCCTCCCACTGCCTAAACAGCTGTTCTGTGTGGCGACCCTAGGCTGTTTAGTGGTGTAGCAGATAGAGGCTGCTTATTATGTCTTGGTGAATGCTGCTCTGTGTCCCTCGCAGCTGCAGCTCTGCAACCCCCTCCACTGAGGCCACGCAGGAGTTCTCGTCCCTCCTCAGTAGCACCAACCATGTCAAATGACCCTGGACCTCCTGGAGCATTAGCAATGGGAGTTCCCCCATCACCTCCTTCCCCCCAGACCCTCTGCTCTTAACAATAAATGTAACGCCTAATTTATTGTAGGCACTCAATAAATGTTTGTTGAATTTATGAATGGAACACTTATTCCAGCCATTTAACAGCTGCTTGCCAAGATGAATAAATAACAAACAGCTAATTAAATTCATGACTGTATTAATACAGGGTGGTCAGCAGAACAAGTCACCCACAACCATAGACTTTTAGAGCTGAAAGGAACCAGAGAATTCTATTCCAGCCTTATCATTCTTTTCTAGACTTTATTGGTGTGACCAAACCAAAATGATGGGCTCCCACATTTGAAGGAGGTATTGGCTAACACAATATTCAACACGGTTTACCAAATACAGTGTGCTGGACAATGGCATACAGAAATGAGCAAGGTACACCAAGGTCCTGCGGGGTTTTTTGTTTGTTTTTTGTCCTGACTCTTGTAGCTCTTCTGTACTAGGGTGGACAGACCATAAACATGTAAATAGAATTTTGCTGTCCCCAAGTAAGTCCTCTTCTCTCATGCTCATCAGGAGCATAACCCATCTAGCTTTAATCCCTTCCACTCCACTAGAACAGTGCTTGTCAAGATCACAAGGGGCCTTCACGTTGTTAAACCAGACAGCCATTTTCCATCTTCTTTCTTTGCTGCATTGGACTTGGCCAAGCCTCCCCTCCTCCTAGATATACTTTCCTCCCCTGGCTTCCAGGACACCACACTCCCACCTTGCTCCTAACTCACTTGCTGCTCCTTATCCTCCCTTGCTAACTTCTCTCAATTCTATAGGGTGTCTTCCCTCAGTTCTACAGACCCAAAGCTAGGTCTTCTGTCTCCTTTGTACTCAATCCTCAGGGACTAGTGAAGGGGGTTACCTGTGATCTCAAGGAAGTTATTTAATCTCCCCACACTTAGTTACCACATATGTAAAATAGGAATATTACCACCTGCTCATAGAGCTCTGAGAGGATTAAATGAATGATCAGATGTGCAATCCTAGAACAGTGTCTGGTATGTGTGGTTATTACAAGGTTCAAAACTGAACCTAGGGATTTTCTATCCAATCTACTTCCCTCACTGTATGGAACAAGTCTTTCTCATGGTATTCAGCTTCACCCTCTCATTGGCTCTGGCTAGAAAGCTTTGAGTCATCTCAATTCTTCCCTTAATTTCACATCTGACATCTAAATCAGCAAATCCTTTTGGGTCTTTTTTTTTTTTTTTTTTTGAGACAGAGTCTCAGTCTGTCACCCTCATTAGAGTGTCGTGGCATCATAGCTCACCACAACCTCAAATTCTTGGATTTGAGCAATCCTCTTGCCTAAACCTCCCAAGTAGCTGGGACTACAGGCATGTGCCACTACACCCAGCTAGTTTTTCTATTTTCAGTAGAGACAGGGTCTCACCCTTGCTCAGGTTGGTCTCAAACTCCTGAGTTCAAGCAATCTACCTGCCTCAGCCTCCCAGAATTCTAAGATTACAGGCATGAGCCACCATGCCCAGCCCTTTGGGGTCTACTTTAAAATTTTTTAGAATCTGCTCAGTCATCACCACCTCCACTGTATAATAAACCACCAGCCTTTCTTGTTGATTATTTTCAATAGCTTCCTAGTTGATCTCTCAACTTCCACACTTGCCGCCCTGTAGTCTAGTCCCAACTCAGCAGGGAGAGCCTATTAAATAAGTCAGATAATGTCATTCTTGTGCTCCATCCCCTCTAAAGCCAAAGTCCCCACAGTTGCCTGTGTGAGCAAATGTGAACCTGAGTCAGTCCAAGATGGATCCCAAGTGGTTAAGAGGCCCTAAAGCAGCCAAGAGGCCATTTGCTGACTAAAAGGTAACATTCTATCTGAGATCCCCTAAAACTCACCCCTGTTTAATTTTGAGACTTTCAGAGCTCATCTGAATCAACCAATCAGAGCTCACCTGCCACAGCCAATTAGTGCTCAGCTATATCTAACTAAGCTATCAGCACTAAGCAAGTTTAAGGCCTTCATTTACATAAACAGACCTGGTTGGGAAACTGGGTAAAAACTTTGGCTATAAAACTAGATCCCTGGGCAGCACTCGTTGCTCAGTGGGTAGGGCACCGGCCATATACACAGAGGCTGGCCGGGTCAAACCCGGCCCAGGCCAGCTAAAACAATGACAACTGTAACAACAAAAAAATAGCCAGGCATTGTGGCAAGCACCTGTAGTCCCAGCTACTTGGGAGGCTGAGTTAAGAGAATCTCTTAAGCCCAAGTTTCAGGTTGCCATGAGCTATGATGCGACAGCACTCTACCGAGAGCAGCATAGTAAAACTCTGTCTTAAAAAAAAAAAAAAAGAAAGAAAGAAAGAAAAACTGATCCCTCTCGTCTGGTATGTGTGGTTATTACAAGGTTCAAAACTGAACCTAGGGATTTCTATCCAATCTGCTTCCCTCACTGTATGGAACAAGTCTTTCTCATGGTATTCAGCTCCACCCTCTCATTGGCTCTGGCCAGAAAGCTTTGAGTCATCTCAATTCTTCCCTTAATTTCACATCTGACATCTAAATCAGCAAATCCTTTTGGGTCTTTTTTTTTTTTTTTTTTTT